ACAACTTTTTTGTGGAGTTCAATGTCCTGGTTTTTGCCATAGGAGGTATTATAAACATTTCTGTTGCTGTTAAGTCAAAGACATAGTAGAAAAGCTGGCAGGACTTTTAAGACTGTAGTGTTCAACATATTCATAAGTTTGCTGGAAAAAAAAAATAATAGTGATAAAATTATGGATGTTATTAAATTGAATAATGTGATGAAGATAAGGGCAGACTGAAAGAGTCTGCAGGCCTGGTCTCACTTTCTCTAAGAGAATGTAGCTGAACTGGAAAACACTCCAAGAAGGACAACATTGTTTCAAAGGTGAACAGAATAAGTTTCATCAAAAGAGTGACTGAATGTACTTTAAATGTTTGGAAAAGAGAAGTGAGATGATGGCCTAGGGAATGATGGAATCTTCCAATACAATAATTAGATTTTTCAAGAGGTAGTGAGAGAGAGATGTTTGTTTATTGCAGAACAACAGGAGATTGTGATTTGCCTAGTGTTAACTGAGAGTATGAAAGTTCTTACTGGAGACTACTGCTTCAGACTATATAAAACATATCAGAAATGCATTAAATGCCAAATTAGTTCAGAAAGGACTTGGAGAAACTTGGAGAGAAAAATGTTATGGGACATCAATCACAAAAAGACCATTTCCAGCTCTGCAAGTCTGAGCTGTGCACCTCTGGAACATGAGGAAACTTCCTGTAGAAACCTATTTTTCCTGCTATATTTTTTGCCATAAACATCTGGTATCAATTTCTGTTGTAAATGGGATACTTTGATAAGTGGAGGTTTGCTATTGCTTTTAAAACTATTCATTGCTTTTGCTTTACTTTCCTTCAAAGCATCAGGAGACAGACTCATTCTTTATGACACAATAATATTTATTTTCTTGAAAAATTTGGCTGATATTCATCTTTTAGGTACACATCTTTGTAATTAGGAGATATAGTATAAACATATAGGTTGGATTAGAGTTGGATCACATGTAAAAAGAAGGGTTTCTTTATAATTTTTTTTCACATTTACTTAACTGATTTTCAGCAGTCTGAACACCCTTTAGTTGTATCTTATTAGTAGAAACTGCAAAATTTGATAATGATCCTCAAATGTTAGTAAGTGCCAGTGGAGGACTTCGTGTTGAAGGATTAAATCTGCAATGATGCTGGATATTGGGTCTCAGAGAATGGTAATTGCTATGGAAATTATTTCTCATAAAATGGGTAGCTGCTTATTTGGTCAAAAGTCATTACGGCAAATGATGAATTTATTAGTTTCAAAATGATTGGTAAAATGTGACACACACACACACATACATACATACATATACATGTGTTGGTAGTGGTTATTTCAGAGAACTGAAGAGTGCACAATGTATGTTACCTTAGCAATTAATGAAAATCATCTGAGCTTTATGTTGTTCCTTACTGCAATCAAACAACTTAGAGCATAAACCACTTTTCTCAAGGGTGTATACTTTACCAAATACTATTTCCAGTAGTCCTTGTGTTGCCTAAACTCCCAGGTTACAAAGATATTTGCTGATTTTTTTTGTAAATAGTTACTGCCTTCCTTTTTTTTTTTTAAGATGGTGGGATCACACAGTTTTGGACTGCCAAATCTAATGTCATGCTTGCCAAAGCAGGGATTTTAATAACTTTTGCTTCATGCACCCACACTTGCTTTGGAGTGTCTTTGGAGAGATTTGTGTCCTATTGTCACTGATGCAGCACATATTGCTGCTTTATACTAGAAAGGAAAATCACTTAATTTGAACATTGCAGTTTTGCGTTCTACAGAGAAGTTTACCTGCCCCTTACTCATAGCTGAATACGCTAAAGATCATTCCAGATTTTCAGAAGTTCAGATTTCCATATTCTTACAAGAATTTGTGGTACATTCTTAACATTTGTTGTTGGCAGTCACTCGGAAATGCTGTTAATTTATCTGTATTTGAAAAAAAAGAGGAATTGTCTAGTCATGGCCTTTATCCTTTGAGCATCCTTCTGCTGCCAAACATATGATAGGTGTCAGATAGGATGGACTAGTGGGACTAGTGGCAATCTAGGTTACTGATATTGATTGTTATAAGGTCATGGAATTAGTAATTCTGGTATATGGAGTGAGATACAGGTTACATCCAGACTGCATCCAATTAGTTAATTTATCAACAATGAAGTGAATGTCTGTATTCTTCCTTAAAGCACAGTAATCAAAAATTTAGAATTAAAAAATACTGTCTGAATAATTTTCAGAACTTTCCAGAATTAAAAGAGTAGTGCAATTTGTGAATTATGTGCACATCTACACATAATTTCGGCAACACTAAAGTGCAACATGCTCTATGTGATGAACTGACTAATGATTTATTCATAATTTAATTTAAACTTCTGTTACATTATTCTGAATTAACTTTCTTGAACAAGAGTATGTCTTAAAAGAATTATTAGATCTTGATTAAAGTTTCAAATTAGAGCAAATTCAAGGAAGTTTAATGTGATGCTTAGGTAATAACTACTTTTGTTGTTAACAATGCCCCCTGATTTGCAGTCTGACTTGAAGCCAGTCTAGCTGCCAGCATGGGCTTCTCTCTGTTATGCCATTACCTTCTGTAATGCTATTCTCTTTTTCTTTGGATCTTTATCCATTGCAGTCCTTCAACCCCTCTAGACTATTTAGCTTCACAAACAGTAACTAAATTCCTCTGACTCCTCACCAGAGGGCATATTTTTCAATGCTCTATTAATTTTGATCTTTCTCTACCATTCAAACTTCTCATCCCACTTGCAGGATGGTTATCAGATTCAGATAACACCAAGATAATTCAGCTTTCTTATGCTCTCTCTCAGAGTTTCCCTGACTTTTTATAAAGTTCATTGTCTTCATTAGATATTTCCCAAATGCCAGCAGGACATCTCAATTATGACTTCTGTTTTTTCCATAAAAATTATCTATGGTAAAGAAGTAAACTGTATGTCCTTCCTTTAGAAATACTTCAGTTCAGTTCATACCCTTTTGCCATACTGAAATATGAAATCTAAAATATTTTCATTCAGTGAATGTGTTTCATGGTTTTACAGTATTAGTTATCTTACAGAACTCCGTTTCGTCAAAGAAAGCTATGTTTCATCCACAGCTTCTCTGGGCAGGACATTCAGTTTTACCAAATAAACTAACTAGCTAGTTTCACCAACAACAAGATAATAAATTTAAAATGTCTCCTAAAAAGCCATTAAGGCAATTTTTATGTATTGTCATTTTAAGGCAATACTTAATAGGAAACCTGGTGTTTATTATTTGTTCTCCATATAGACATTTTCTTTCTGCCAGTTTTGTGCCTGAGTGCTGTAACCAATGCTTTGTAGTTAAGAATGTTGCTCTTTTAAGTTTCAGCTCTATTGTTCAAGCTGCTTGGTGACTCAGACAAGTGTCATTTCATGAGTCTTTGAAGTCTGGAAATAATTTTTTGCACTTGTTAATAAAGGAAAAATACAGGAAAAAGCAATTATTTATTTCCTCTATTGTTACCACACCCATAAAAACAGCAGGTACTGCAACTGCCTAAATTAACTTCTAATGACTGATAGGTGGGTTTTACTTCAAATGTGTCAAAGCTGTTTCCTTCTACTGGATGATTTCTTACCAATAGATTGACTGGCTCTCTCAGATACTTTCATTAAATATATGAACAACTGTTTTATCAGATGTAACAATATTTTCTAAGTCATTGTGAACTGTATTTTGTTTATTCTCTACCTCTCTCTTATTTGAAAAGCATATTTCTTGGCACATCATTTGACTTTTAAAATATGTGGCTTTTTTCTTCCTTTTTCTCAAGATAATATTCAAGTGTATGTCAGGTATATTCCTCAAAAATTACTCAGTATATACCTTCAGAGAAGACACAACACAGAAGGAAAAACCCTGCTATTTTAGGGCCGGTAAGGTAGTTTACCATGTATTCTGTATTCTGAAGATTAGTATAAATCATTACAATTACCCAAAAAAATTATGGCAAGGTTCAATAATGTGTTTCACTTGTAACACTGAGTAAAAGATAAATAAGATCTATCTTAAGGCAACTTCTGCACGTTTGTTTTAGGAAGTTCATTGTAATTTCAAGGAATAACTTACACAAGATCTAATAAATCGTATTATGCAATCTCCAGTTATGTATATGGATTGAAAATAACATTAATGAAAAGTGAGAATTCAAAACAGGCAATAATTCAATCTCTTGCATGAAATGAACACAGAGAGGACCACTGTGATTATGGTTACATGTGTACCTTCACCATTATTCTTTCTAATTCATTTTTTGTAGTATAAGATGTTATAAGCCATCTCTTATTTTACATTTATTGTCTCTAAACAGTGTTTAAATACAAAGTACTTACTTCCTCCATGTTCTATAATCCAGTAGGAATATAAACAGGTGTTTCATTGGTGAATTCTGATTGCAGAAATATCAGCATTTGCTCCATAGTTTATTTGAAATGCTCTGCTGGTCCCTCTTCCACACGTATCACACTTCCAGCACAGTGAATTCTCCATGAGTCTGTAAAACAGCATTCCACCAAGAGAACTGGTCTGGGGTTAGCTGATTAGAGCTGTCACTTCATTTTATAGCAGACATTTTTCCATTTTGCCTTATGCCTCAGGTAGCGTGGTGCTGGAGCAAGCAGATGCCCCTTTCTGCAGCATGCACCTGGATTCCCATGCCCCTGGCAACAGGTGTGGGGATGGAGATGATGTCCAAGATCTTGTCCTGATTTTTGGGAAGAGTACAGCCAGCACAAAAACAGTAGGCTAGAAAGTTCTGACTGTTCTGACTGACACTGGGAGCCCCAGTGGACAAAACTCAGACCAAAATATGAAGAGAACAAATGTCTGTTTTATTACTCTTTTTGGTTATCCAGCTCTAAAGCACTTTTTAACCTAATTCTCTGAATAATGTTATTCCATTTACAAAACTGGAGTGTTTTTACTGTCTCCCATTTATTCTTTCAGGATTTGTGGATTTAACACTCCATGATCAGGTCCATCTACTGGAATGTGCCTGGTTAGAAATACTGATGATCGGCTTAGTCTGGCGCTCCATGGAACATCCAGGAAAGCTTTCGTTTGCACCTAACCTGTTACTGGACAGGTAAGTCTGCATGTTGCTGTGAATTGTTTAAGTTAATTTATTTCTCCTGCAATCAGATTAATTTTTAGCATGATATCATCTCAGCAGTACTACAATTTGACTGTACATCATATGTCAAGCAGGCTTATGGTAGGTGAGACTGAAAAATGAATGTTCAGGAACATGATACTGCTCATTTATTAGACAAATAACACACCTGAGGCTCATCTGCTGCTTGAAGTACTTTCTTTCAAAGGCAGCAGTAAATTTATCTTATAATCTCTACTGTTTGTTTCAGAAGTAATTTAAATTAAAAACTGAACACTATTCATTTAATTCAGATAGGTTTTTTTGTTTATTTAAAATCCTCCTCAGTTTTCTTAGTTAGAATGAATTTATCCAAGCAGCCAGACAAAATTTTGGAACAACATCCTCATAGAATCTGAAGTGCAGTTTTATTTACTTATGGAGAATATATTAAGTTTGGGTTTTTTTTTTTTTCTTGTGAAAACTGGAGACAAATATGACAAACACATACTTGCTCCCTTCACTAAGCTTTTTTTTTGACAGTCTTGCTAATATGCTAAGTGTTTCTGAGAGAAAAAAATATGCATCTGTGCTGGATGAAAATATCCTGGATTTTGGCTGGCAGTCTTCATGTTAAAAGCAGGAAGACTGATAATTTAAAATATATTTTCTACTATCTTAATGTAAGCTCAAGCTCTCATTTCCTAGTCCTGTGAAAAATTTAATGAGAAATTTTAATTAAATTTTCAGACAAAATTTCTTAGGATAGAGTAATCTTAGCTGTTGGTGGTCCTCCTAGTTGTAGACACGTAGCAGAGCTGGCAGGGGAGAGCTGCTGTGCTCGGAGGTCACTTCAGGGCAGACTTTGGCATCTTGGTCCAAACTGGAAGTGGCAGAAGAGCCAAACTGAGATGGAGTATACAGAGAGGCAGCTAAGAAGTGGGCAAGCTCCTGACCTCATCACGTAGCTGCCAGGGCAGAGGGGTGGCAACAGAATGTCAAGGGCAGTACCCTCAGCTACTGCAGCCACAGCTGTGTAATTTAATCAAAATTCTCATTAGCAGAAAAATTTCTTATGATCAACTTGCTCTGTTGACTGTGGGGTACTGAGTTTCCATGGCTGCATTCATGAAGTGTTAATCCTTTGATTCCCTGCCCTCTATTTGCACACACCCCCCAGGACTTACTTTTAGCATTTTAGTAAAATACAAATGATAATACCTAACAGGATAAAACATAATATTTCCCAGTAATAGAGAAATGTTTATTGCCTTAGGAAAAACCCTATTCCACTGGTGTAAGCACAATGATCTGTGAGCTGTGGAACTAGATAAGCATAAAACATTCTCATTTTAGGTACAGAAAATATCTTCTTGTCAAAATGCAAGTATAGTCTTTACAAAAAGCTGCAGCAGTTTAAAAATAATTTTTTATTTTTAAATCTTGGTCTTTCTCAACTTAATGTTCTCAGTAAAATGGAGTTTGTGCAGTTGATTTACACAGTTTTAAGTGAACTGGATTAAAGAAATTAAGTCAAATGGATTAGAGAAAACCATTGCATGCAACTAGAACCATGTATTACTTCAGGGCTCCTTGTTTTCTAAGTTTTAATTGAAACCATAAAAATGTAGATCTATTACATCTTCTAATTTTGAAATAATAAGAAACATGTCTCTAAGTCATCATATACTTGCCTCACTCCGTTTGGTAGGGATATTTGCAGAAAGTGAAATAATAAATTAATTTACTCTGGGAAGCACCAATATGCTAACCAGTTAAATAACTCTTAATTTACTTGTTAATTAGTGCTAACAATATTTTGATGTGTTAATTTGTTCTGGGAAAATTGGCTTTGAGAATGTTATAGAGCAAAACTGTTGTTTTTCAGGTTTGAGAGGGCAGGACAGACACCGGTTCAAAGTCTGTTTCACTCAATGAAATCACTGCATCAAGTATTCATAGAACCATGAAATGGTTTGGGTTGGAAGGGACCTTAAAGATCACTAGTTCCAACCCCCTTCCATGAGCAGGGACAACTTTTATTAGACCACATTGCTCAGAGTTCCATCCAACACTTCTATATTTAGTGAAAACTAGACATCCTCTCTGATTTGAGCACCCCTTTCATTTGAGCGTTCAGGCTTATCCTGAACAGATTCTTTCTGTCAAGGATCTTTGATATAGGTAGTCGTTTGTATACATCTGTTCCTAAAGCTTAGGTCACACCAAATTTTATTATACAACTTTTCTTGCCCTTTGGCTAGATATATACAGTCCTGTCTTGTTAACCTCTATCTGAAATGTCACAGAAATAACCTTTCAGCTTTGCTGTTTTTTGAAAAAATGTGATCTTTCTTCTCCCAACTCACTCCTCCTACATGGGTCATGTTACACATATGCTTGTCTTGTCTCTGAAGATCTTTTAGAAACTGTCTTTTCTAATTCTATGCAAGTCAGCCAGTTACATTTTAAAATAAATACTTCTTTAACTTTCCTTTTCAACAATTCGCACTTGGAAGACTTCTTGAAAAAATCTGTAAAGCAGACCTTAGCAAATAATTCTATGTTGCTTTTTAAAATTTTTCTTAGCCTGTAAGAAAATAATTACACAACAATTAAGTTGTTTAATAAATTAGTATGTGTAGACTGCTGTCTTCTGTATGGATGAATATAATCACATTATCTATTTTCCTTTCCAGTCTGCATTGTAATTAGACATTGTATTTTGTGAGGTAATGCACCCTTTCTTATTCTGTTAATGCATTACCCAAACACTTGAGTCTTGGTTCAAAATCAGGAATTTTAACAGTCTCCAGTTACATAGGACCAGTAGATTATTACTTTGTACAACTGCTGCTATTAACATGCTCAAATGACAATAATTAGAGATTAGAAAAACAGGTTTAATCAGGAAATACAATGGCACACTCACAGTGCTTGCAATTATTATACAGTACTTACTAAAATCAAATAATAAATTCAAGACTTATATTTTGTTTTTGAAAATTAGTATATTGTATAAGGCAAATTAGGAAGTTTAAAGGCTTAGGTTTCTAGTAGGACAAACCAGATGTTTCCTGTCTGGAGGGTTCCCAAGAAACTAGACTTTAAAAATGTCATTACACCAGGGTTGAAATTTGTCAGGTCTGACAGTAGACTGTTTATAATTTTGAAGAAAACGCAATGTTTCTTCAAGAATGTCATATTTTACTTTATTTTTAATGGATTTTTTGCATTCAGATATCACACTGATCCCAGGTTACTCAGAGGCTTAAAACATAATTACAAAGGCACTCATGATAGAAATAGCTGGATTGCTGAATCTCACTTGAAACATTCTCAGTTTCAGTAAAATGGCAAATGCAGTGCTGCATTTTAAAAAGGAAGCCTGGTGACCACAGTAAAGAAGCTGATGGGATGCCATCTAAAGAAGAGAATTGGCTGAAGTTGAATGAAAATTACATAGTGATAAAGAGTCACTGAGCATTTTGTAAGAGGAAGCCACAAATACACTGAAGTCCTTTAAGAAATTAAAAAGCAAGTAGATGATGTACATCTTGTCAAATTTCAAAAAAGTATGAAACAAGTTCCAAATTTTATGTAGACAAATGCAATGGAATGTATATAGGAGAATAATAATTCTGGTCTTCCTAAACAGCATTCTGAGTTGATCTTTCCATCTCACTGTTACCAGCAATTAGTTCTATAGAACCAGCAGTTCTTTGCTTGCAGTAGTCAGAGACTGCAGCTTTCCCTCCCCCTGAGAGTGTTTACAACAGGAAATAAAAATAATACAGATCATTGCCATCCCCCTGTTTAATTCTGTGCCTCATCTGTGCTTAGAAAACTATGCTTTCCTGACTTTCTTTATCTTAACAGTGATATTGAAAGAATAAGAGAGGTACCCAGAGGTGTTGCACAGACAATTAAATAGAGGCACAAGCTTTGTTATGAAGAATAACTAAATGGACTGATTTCTCTGCCTCTGATACTCATTAGAAGAATGGGAACAAAGTAAAGATCATAGGAGTTGTATAAAGTCATGAGCATGTTGAGAGGATGTGTGGTAATCCACAAGTTATTATCTCTTCCAGCCCAGCACTAGAGGTAGTCACTTGAAACCAGCACATCCAAATACCTGTGTGATTAGCCCACAGCTAAATATACCTTTGATATGAGAGAGTATGGCTATCTTCATGTTATTTTCTACTGTTATTTTCTCATCATGGTCTCTCACAGCAAAAAAAACCAACTCTCTAGGGACTTATAAAATTTCAGTTCAATGTAGTCAGTATTTTGGTGTTTCTATCAGGTTTTTGCTTCTTTTTATGGAGAAAGCTAATCTGTTTTTCAGAGTTAATTTTAATTTGGAAACTTACTTCCACTTCTAGCACTTGATGAAGATTTTTCATTCTCTAAATAGAATTTTCCTTTTACTGACTTTTGTATTGAGCAATAGCAGGAGACTGCGGATCTCTTTAAACTGAAACTAATACAAATAACTAAAAACCTTACAGCATTCACTGTGTGAGAGGGTGGTTGATCAATTTACTGCTTTCATTTGCTGCTTTTTACTCTTTTTTTGAACTTTTCTCACTATACCTGAAAAGAATCTTTTGAGTTCTTTATGTAGATATTTTGATAGACATAAAATTAGATACAATAGAAGAGCATCAAGATCAAATCTGAGTAAGTTTTCTAGTCCCTCAGCTTGTAAAATGCTCCAAGTGTCTGAGGACACCACACATGTTTGTCACTTGAGTAAATTCATGACATTTTGTGTGGAATTGTGGATGCATTAATTACCATTGATTTGTTAGAAAAAATGAAGCAAAGTGATCCCAAGTGCTTGATTCAGAATACTTCCTTAGTGACCTTCTGCTTGTATTTATTTCAAAAGGGAAAAGTTCATAGGCAACAAGTATATCCTAATTTGCCCTTCAAATGGATTTGAAAAGCTTGTACATTTTGTACATATTGTACATTTACTTTTC